CGGGGTAGGAGACTCGCGCCCCCCACACCTTGTGGGGGGGGGGGGGATGGAGATGGGTCTCCCTGTGCGTGCACCAGCATGGTGGATGGGTGGGGGCGCATGCCGTGTGTGTAGCGTGCAGCTGCTCCTGAGGCATGTGGAAGCCCTGCTCCCCCCTCGCTGCACTGGCCACGGGCAGGAACTGCTGCCCCCACGGGAGCCAGCCACTGGTGGGCTCTGGTTAGCCTTAGCGGTGGGGAGGAGGAAAGGAAAGGGCGGTGGGTGCACACGCGTGTGAGGCAGGTGGGCAACCCCCAGCCATGGCCTGTGCCAGCAGTGCCCCCCAGTGGCTGCTCCTGGGGGTGACAGCAGCCCCTGCCTTAACCCCTTCAGCCCTGCGGACACCATGCCTAGCATCCCCCAGCCCGTGCCCCCTCCTTTTTTTGGGAACCAATCAGAGCAGCCTCCTCCAACCAGCCCCTCCCTGGTGTCCAGATTTCTAATGCTCCCCAGCATCCCTGACCTTGCCCCAGGACTGGAGGGGGCTCGGTGTGTGCCATGGGCAGGGAGGCTGCACCCTGTCCCCCCCAGTCTGGATCCAAGGCACGGGGCCCTGCTACCAGGCAGGAGCCCAGTCCAGCCCCCGGTGGGCGCTGAGGCAGGCACCATGGCCAGACCAGCACCCGCTGCAAGGAGAGGCAGGTACCACAGCCAACCAGGCGGGCACTGGCTGAGGGAGCCCAACAGGAGAGGGGGGCTCCACACTGTGGGCACAAGGGCAGCCAGTCACGTGGCGCAGGGGGTGACAGGTCCTGGGGCCACGCAGCCCAGCTGGGAGCGGGCGCAGGCAGTGCACTGGGACCCGCTATGGGAAATAATTTATATCATTTAAAAGTCCTCTGATACAAAACCCGCTCCCCCACGATGCACTGCTCCCACTCCCCGGCTAGCGGTCAGGGCGCTGCACGCAGAACACTTTGGCTTGGTGGTCGCCTGACGTCGTCACCACGATGGAGGCATCCCTGGGGAGAGGAAGGGAGGGGGCGCTGAGCGGGGCTGCTCTTCTCCTGCCCATGGACCCCCCCAGCAGCTCTGCCCCCCACCCCTCCCAGCCCAGTGTGCCCCAAGAGCCTCCCACGTGGCAGCCAGGCATGCAGGGAGGTATCCAGCCCCAAGCCCGAACGTGGACAGACAACAGGCCCCCCCCCGGACAAGCGGGGGGAGCTGGGTACAGGCACTCACTTATTGAGGGCAAAGTCGAGGATCTCAGCACTGTGGCCCCGGTACTCGCTGAGCAGCTTGCCGGAGCGGGCGTCCCAGAGCCGCACGATGCCGTCCAGGCTGCAGGTGTACACCACGGCCGCGCTCTCCTCCCACAGCAGCTGCACGATGCCCGACTGCCACCCGGCGCCCGCGTCAGCCTGGGCATGGCCGCGGCGCCAGGGCCAGCTGGGGGAGCCGCTGCCAAGGGGTCACTGCCTCGAGGTGCAGCAAGGCCAGCCCCCACCGGGACCCCAGGAAGATGCAGAGAATGACCCCCTCCCACCTCCCCTCCAGAGACAGGATCCAGGGGCTTAGGTGCAGAGCGGGGGCAGGGGGGACAGCCCCAGCCTTCCTCTGTGGGATAGTCAAGGAACCCCCCAGCCAGGGGCACTTGGAAGCAGCAGGCCCAGCCCCCAGGCAGCCCGCCCCATACCTCGTGCTGGCACTTGTGCCGCAGGCTCTGCGTGGAGAGGTCGTAGATGGCCAGTGTCCCGTCCAGGTAGCCCACGGCAGCCAGTGGCATCCTGGGGGGCCGGGGGAAGCTGTTACGGGGGCAGCGGGGGCAGAGACTACCACAGCAGCTGAGGGGGGAAGTCACAGGCAGAGCCCCTGCTCCATGCAGCGGTCAAGGGCAGCCCAGGCAAAGGGCAGAGATCACGTGACTCCTGGCTGCCAACACCCACCACCCCGTGGCCCAGACCCCGACCCCGGCACTCACACATTGCAGAAGCCCAGCGACTCCACGGAGTTGGACTCAGGCTCCTCGGTCCCCCCGGCTGGGGTCTGCGGGGCGGCGCTCCCCTCCTGGAACACGCACACCACCTGCGGCACGCGGCACACGCCTGTCAGCCGGGGACGGAGCCAGCGCCAGGGACTTGGTACCCCAGCGGGGATCCCATGGCAGGGGCACCACGTTGCAAGAGGGCCCTGGGCCACGCCACCCCCAAGAACACGGCCACAGCCACCCCACCGAGGGCTCCAGCAAGCGGGGATGAGCTGCCTTGGGCCAAGGGTGCACCCTGGCACGTTGGCCCTGCTGCCAGCAGTGCAGGGAGCTGGGCACAGCCGGGCTGCCCCAGAAGGCTCCTGGGGCAGCACATCGGCAGAGACCCCCACCCAGGGCTGTCCCCACAACTCAGCCCCAAGATGACACAGACTCACCTTGCCGGTGGCGGCGTTCACCAGCTTCGCCTGGCAGTCCACAGAGCCCGTCAGGACCAGGCTGCCGTCCTTACTGCTGGCCACACACGTCAGGGGGCCCTGGTGCCCGTCCGGGCCTGGGGAGGACACGGGTTGAGCCCCCACGGCACCGCCACTCCCAACGGCCCTCAAGCCTGACCCCAGCCCCAGGTTGGGACAAGCCCTGCCTACCTTTGAGGACGTGGATCGAGCTGCCCTGCTTCAGGTCCCAGACGCGCACGGTGCCGTCCTCGTAGCCGACCACCGCTCTCTTCCCTGCACGGAGAGAGGGGCTCGCGGCTCTCATCACCCCCGAGACCCACCCCTGCGTGCCCAGGGACACCCTCCCTGCCGTGTGCCACAGGGGCCGCCGATGCCCTGACGCCCTCCCCCAGCCGTGCCGCGCCGCGCCGCGCCGGGGGCAAGGCAAGGCAGGGCAGCCCGCACCGTCAGGGAGAACCTTGCCGCAGGTGGCCGGGCAGCTCGGGCCCTGGAAAGTCTTGCAGTCTCCGCCCGGGGTCGTCCACATCCAGGAGTTGCCC